GTGAAACTATTTTGCAAATAGAAAGCTCAGTGGTGCTCAGATTCAGTTGGTGTTGGTCCGCCCCGCTTACCCAGCTGCTCTTGTTTCCAAGTGAGTGAGGTCTGCTCTGGGAGGAATAAGTCACCATCTCTTCAGAAGCTCCTTTCCAAGACCTGCATAATGGAAAAGAAAGATCTTTGATTGGGCCTCCTAGTAACATGCAGTTAAACAGCTGGCTGGTAGAAAGATGAAGAGATTCAAAGTATGTGTCTTTTATGAGGAAAAAGTGCTCAGATGTGATGGTTCTGAGAATTTAAATCAACAGAAAATGGTCAAAAAGGCTAGCAAGTGCTTCTGTAAAAAAATATAAGCCACTGAGTTCTCCAGGCGAAAAAAAAATGCATTGAGTAAAATTTACATTTTTAAAAACCCTTCATTGTGTGTTTCCTTTTCCTTTCCCAACATAGCTAAGTTGAATAACTGAGACCCTGAAGTCCTATAGAAGAGTCTCAGGAGAACTTAAATGTCTGTGTAATTCTGTATTCTACAAAACTCAGTTTGGCTCTGAGGTTTTTTTGTTTGTTTGTTGTTTTAATCTATAAAGTCAATGGACCAATGAAATGGACCAATATTTTTCTATGCACATTTATTTTGTGAGAGCATACAACAGTCTAATTCTCAGTTACTTCATCACTGTGCTTCATAGAGGAAAAGATCATTTCAAGTCAGGAAAGTAAGGCTAGAAGGGACCTTATAACTCAGGAGTGGGCAAAATGCAGTCTGCGGGCCAGATGCGGCCCGCCAGGCCATTCTAGCCGTCTTGTGGGGTGGGGCCCCTAAAAAATTTAGAAAATTAATATTTATCTGCCCTGGGCTGCCTATCATGTGGTCCTTGATGGCTTGCCAAAACTCAGTAAGCGACCCTTCACCCAAAATAATTGCCCACCCCTGTCATCTATTCCAGTATCCTGCTCAAGGCAGGGTCATCCCTGACTAAATATCCCTATCAAGTATCCCTAATCTTCAACCTGCATTTCACCTGCTAAAGCTTGAGGACTTTCTTTATAGTCCCATCCCTGCCACAGAAAAAAAATAACCCACCTCCATCTCCTCTATAATCGCCCTTCAGATAGTTGAAGGCTGCTATCAAATCTGCTCTCAGTCATCTCTGTGGCATCTTTAATGCTTCCTGTATTCTGAAGCTGTACAAAGCTTTGCCTGACCCTTGTGATAAGTTAGAATATCCTGAGGCATCTGTAAAGGACAGCTTTTGTTTTATGTCCCCACAGGTCCTAAGAAGCAGAGTATGGCCATAGAGTACTATACCTCTGGTGCCATTACTGCACATCAGTCAACTCTACCCATGAGTGGACCAATCTGTAGGGACAGAACTAGCACAGAGTCCTTATACCAAAATGATAACAGCTAGGCAGATACTCTGCATAGATGGCACTTCGGGGTGCTGGGTGCTGCGTTTAGCTAATATAAGGCTTCTAGACCAGTATTCAAATCTTTAGTACAACAGAGGATGAGTTCTTAATTATGGCTGATAGAAGTACTGTCCCACACTTCAAGGCAGAGTTTCTTTTATAGCCTCTAGGTCTACCATATCTACTGTTCCAGAGGTAAGTGCTAGGAACGAGTTGAAGAGGACTTGATGAAGCCAGTGAGGAAGCCACAGTGAATAGTCATAAGGAACAGGGAACAAGAAAGTGGGTCACAGCAGCAGCACAATACTTGATTCTACCATACTCCTTCCCTCCTCACCTTAGCTGCTGTTGCATTTTTATTTGATGAATCTCCTTTGATTCATGTGATGAATTGTAAAGGCACCTGTTCCTGATCTACCTGAAAGTCATGGCCCAGGAAGTACTAACGCTATTATATTGATTCCAAAATGTTTTGTTTTGGAAGGAGTTAGATTTTGGTGAGCAATAACTATGTAAGGAAAGCTGGTCCCCACTATGAATTCAGCATAGCTTGCATGAAACCATTTACTAAGGACATAGAAATGGTGACCAAGGCTCTTGGGCGAACACTTTCAGCATTCAGAACACTCTCTAATATCTTTAACTTTGATCTACATATTCTCCAGCAAGCAGAAGCCAAAACTCCAAATTAACATCTCATTGAAATGACAGCATGTCTAGCAATGCAGCACATACTTAATTACTTACTGCAGTGTCCTTATTGGTCATGAGCCAAAGCCTTTGTGCAGTACCTGACTTCATGAACTTCTGCCTCAAAGATGCAAGTACTTTTTCGTATATAATTTATGGACTGAGGAGCCCCTAGATGTTAAAAATTGCCAGTTTTACCCTGCTGATCACAGCTATTAAAATCAAATCACAAGAAATAAAGGAAATATCCTGTATTTCTTACATGTTCATCCCAATACTCCATAGGAAAATTACCCCTCAGCAAAGGAGCTACACAGAACCCTTCGCTGCCATGCTATGCTCATGAAACTGAAATTGAATTGCTGCACAAAAGATCCTACTAGAGTTGTAAACTCCAGAATATCTCCAAAGATTCAAGCATGTGAGGGCATCTTGGGATTGGGACACAGGAAAAACCTCTCAATGTAACCTCAGGTCAGGTAAGATCCTAGATTTTACAAGCCCAGTACTCAGAAGCCCCTGCATTGCCAACGTGAAAGCACAGTCAATATCGAGCAAGCCTACAGAAACAGCAAATGTTAGCCTCCTTCCCTTGTTTTGAAGACATATTCTAACTGACAGGTGCAGTATATGCCATACCCCAACTCTAACTCTGTTGGGGTGCAATATATTTCACTTGCAATAAGCAGCTGGCATTTCTTACATTTGCACTACTTTATTTTTTCTGTCATGATGCAGCCAAAAGTTTGAATTTAAATTAAGATTTGCTTCAAAGTGTTCTTCTGGTTAAGCTTCTCCTCTAAAAGGAGGAGGTAATCAACTATTGTCTTCACTGTTTATTTGTTTGTTTTTGTTGGGTTTTTTGGAGGACTTGATTACTCTGTTATAGGGCTAGGGATCTGAGTGTCTACTTTGATCCTAAGGGGTGGATCTTTGTACTTTTGTGGAGCTCCAGATTTCAGGATACAATTGCAGGGACAGAGCCCAATCTATTTAAAGGCACTTTTGATAAGTTATTAAAAGGTCCTTAAATGGTCAATCATACTGATCAAAAATGGCATGAGCGGAGTACTATTCTATTATTTGGTGTATTTTGTGAGGACTTTGTTTTCATGGGGAACCTGAATTATCAGGATGCCTGCTGGGAGGGAAACACAGCAGCAAGCAAGCATTCCAGCATAAACTGGAGTGTGTAGGGGATAACTTTTTGATACAGATGATAGACAGATCAACTAGGGAGAAGTTCTGCTTGACTTGCTGCTCAGAAGCAGGGAGGGATTGGTTGAGAGTGTGGAAGTGGAGGTAACTTGGGGGACAGTGACCATAAGGAGAGGTAGGAAGAACAGCAGCAGAATAAGGACACCAGACTTCAGAAAAGCATGCTCAGCTGATATTTCCAAATACTTGAATAGCAAACTTTCCTACTGAAGGCCCTGATTTATTTCCACTTACAGTGCAATGTGGCATTGTATTCATTAGTTAAACACTTTTTATCTCTGGACTCTCTCCTTGTATCCTCTAATCATGAAGAGTGCTCAGGAGGTGGATTTA